CGTTGCGTTTCAAGAGGGCTGTTTCTATGTTGTAAATGTGTTTTTCCATTGCTGCATATACCATTTCTAAATGTTGCTTATTCCCTATTGCATCTGTTGATACTTTCTATTTTCTCAATTAGTTCTTGCGATGAAATGAGGATTTACTGCATACCTTGAATGTTTTGTTGTGTGTCTAAAATGTTGCAATTTTCTTATGTCTTTCATATTGCCTGAGAAAATATTCCAATGATGATGCATAGGGAGTTCTAAAAAAACATTGCACGCAACTCGTGTATGCGGGGCCAAGTCAGCATTCGTTTGTCTAGAGACAAAACGTATGAATTGAAGATGTTTGAAAAAAAAGACAGACTTGTTGGAGACGGACTGACGCGCTACAAGGGCCTAGGCCTCTTTCCCTAAAAGAGAAGTCGATGATACCGCTCAAATCAGACCTTGGCTGGGATGCGCCTATGTCACGCGTCTTGCAAGAAGTAGGGAGCCTCGCCAGCGTGCGCGAGGATGGGCCGGCCCAGGAAGCGGCAGGCCACATGCCACAGCCTCACCTTTTCTGTTTCTTTTCAAGTTTTTTACTTTCCTTTTTACATTTGTTTATACTTCCAAATGTTCTAAATATATATTATAAAAAAACTTTACCTAATTTATTTGAAAATCCTAATCAAGCATTTGAAAAATGATAAATGTGTATCAAAAAATGTTTCTCATGTATATGAAAATTGTATACAGAACACACACAATGTGTATGAAAAGGTTGTTCAAGTATTTAAAAAATGTTAATCAAGCATTAAAAAATTAGTCAAGTATTTGAAAAATGTTAATAAAGTTTTTAAAATGTTAAATGGGTATAGAAAAATATATCGAATCCATACGAAAAATGTACAAATGTGTATGAAAAATATAAACATAACACATCATATATGAGAAATGTTAATCATGTACTTAAAAAATGTTAACCACGTATAAAAAAAGTTCCAGATGTATAAAAAATGTACAATGTGTATGTGAAAAACAGAGTTAAAATAAATATATGAAAAAGGTTAATTATGTATTTAGAAAAATGTGAAGCATGTATAAGAAAATGTTCCTGGTGTATACAAAAAAAGTATCACATATGTATAAAAATGTAGACATAAAAACGAATATTTGAGGAAATGTTAATCCTATACTCGCAAACTGTTAAACTTGTATAAAATGTTTCTTATGTGCACAAAAAATGTACAATCCATATGAGAAGTAGTAGACACCAAAACAAATATCTAAACAAAGGTTAATCATGTATTTGAAAAATGCTGAATATGAGTAAGAAAAATATTAGTCAAGTATATGAAAAATATATAATATGTATGAAAAAAGTAGAATTCAAAACATATATTGAAAAAAAAATATGTTTCTGAAAAATATTGAAATGAGTACAAAGAATGTTCTTGCTATATATATGAAAAAAGTAGAACTCAAAACATATATATTTTAAAAAATCAATCATGTATTTCAAAATTGATAAAGATGTATAAAAAATATTTACTTACATATATGAAAATTTTACAATGTGTAAGAAAAAATGTAAAAAAGAAGCCTAATTGGAAAGAAACAAAGAAAATTGAAGAGAAAAGAAAAGGAAAATAGAAAACAAACAAAGAAACCAATCAAAAGCAATGCAACATAGTGAAAAATGAAACCTAAAGAAAACCAAAAAAGAAGCAAATACTACAGAAGTGAAAAAGAGAATGAAAAAGGAAAAACTAAAGAAATCGATGCAAAATAACGAAACAATGTGAAAACCAAGAACCAATAAAATGAAACAGAAACAAAAAACAAAGAAAAAATAGAAAAATAAAACCTGAAAAATAAAGCAAAACAGTGAATGCAGCGGAAGACTTTGTATGCGAAAAAATAAAGCAAAACAGTGAATGCAGCGCAGTGGAAAGTCTCCCCAAAAAATACCAGAAAACAGTGAATGCAACTATGTACGAACTGTCTAGCTAACCACTACGCCTACCAATTGCTAGTGATGGATTGCAACGCCAACTATTTAAGAACCATTGTACCTGTGTTATTTATTTATCATTTATGCCACTAGTTGTATCATACTACTCAGTTTTGCCATTAAAAGTTACAGCTGCTCAAAAATGTCATCGTTTTATTAGATGTTTGCTCAAAAATGTCATTGTTCCATCAGATGTTTACTCAAAAATGTCATTAGACATCGTTATTGTCAGGTCAAACTCGTTGTCCATGTTATATGACAAAAATACCTCTATATCCACATGTCAAATCTCTATCTCACAATGATAAGTATGGACCCCACATGTCAGGAGTAAGCAAGCGAATAATTTTAGAGGAAAATAAGAATGATGTTGGGATCAAGTGGGACCCATGCTTTATTGTAGTGAGATAGAGGGGGAGCTAACATGTTGATCTATAGGTATTTTGGTCATTATAACATGACAAACAAGATTTGAGCTGACAGTAATGGTGTCCAATGACATTTTCTAGCACGCGCCTAACGAAGCGATGGCATTTTTTAGTAGTTAAAATTCCTAGTGGCAAAACTGGGTCGTGAGACACAACCAGTGGCATAAATGATAAAACCTTTACTAATTAATTATTATACGTAGTAGCAATTAGATTTTTGAATTATTTAGAAATTTTGATTTTCAATGAAAAAATTCATCAAATTTCCAAAACGTTCATTAATTTGAAAAAAAATCATCGATTTAAAAAAAATCATCAAATTTGAAACAAAAGTTCATCGGTTTTTAAAAAAGTTCATCGGATCTGAGAAAAAGTTCATGTTCATCAATTTGGAAAAAAATCATCCATTTTGAACTAATTTTATCGAATTCAAAAAATGTTCACCGAATTTGAAAAAATTGAGTCAGAAAAAAAGTTCCGGCGTATTTGAAATTTTCTTTAAAAAATGCTCGCGCATTTAAGAAAAAGGAAAAAAAGAAAAAGAGAAAGTTTCGCGTGTGGTAGTGAGCGGGCCGGGCAGCACACATTACAATCTGCCGGGCACCGAGCGTAGCCTACTCACACTTTAAAAAAAGAAAGAAAAAAAGTTGCGTCCGCCAAGGCTCCAGCTCAATAATCGCTCAAGCCAAGTCAGCGTTCCACATAGAGCTTCAGCACAAAAATCCCGGCGAGGTAACTCTGATAGTTCATCCCAGCATGAAGTGTGAACATCAACAACTCGGAGGGAAGACTACCACGGCCTCCCATCATAGCTCTGACTAAACATAAATATCATGCCGGCGGCGTAAATCCGCGGCACGTTTCGACCTTGACCCTCGCGCCATTGTTTTCCCAACGCGAAGGTCAACTGCTGAAGCTCCGGGACTCTAGCCATCATCCATGGCCACACGCAGCGTTACGTACAGCATGAAATGGACCGGCGAGGAAATAGGGCGGCAGCTCCATGTCTCCGTTGGTCAGGTCATAATGTTAACCCCAGGTTTTCTACCCGTATGACGCGCATGAATCAATGTAGATCCCTGTCACCCGCGTACGTTGGCTAATCCGGCGACCGAGCCCGGGTGCCAAATAGAGATGGACTGCCGCTATCTCGAGCCCTGTTCTATAACTGACGACAGGACCGCAGCATATACTACTCCCTCCGTTCCGAATTACTTGTCTCACGTATGGATGTATCTAGATGTATTTTAGTTCTAGATACATCCATTTCAGCGACGAGTAATTTGGAACGGAGGAAGTAGTAAGAGTAGTACTTCCTCCCTAAACTAATATAAAAGCATTTAGATCACTATTTAGTGATGTAAACGCTTTTATATTAGTTTACGGAGGAAGTACTTTTCAAGAATCCATTCATTTTATGAGATCATCGAATCGGAAATGAATCGCTATCGACGTCTTCCATAATTAGTGTCAGAAACGCTCGTATATTATGGGATGGATGGAGTACTTATGCAGGAAAAATGTGTTGTGCTAGCGCCGTGGATTCATATGGAAGACGAGTTTCTTTTATTTCTGAAGAGGATTTTATTATTTTTGGAAAAAAATGAGAAGAAAAGGTTCCCTTTGTTAAGCGTC